GTCCTTCCCCTCCAGGCCCTTTCCAGCCACTGCCCCAGCCTGGAGTGTCCCAGGGACTTGTGATACAAGCACAGGACCCAGCAATTCACCTTGTTTTGCCTTAAACCATCGGCTTTGGCCCATCAATCCAGCCTGTCCAGATCCCCCTGCAGAGGCTTCCTGCCCCCCACCAGATCCACACTCCTTCCAACTTTATCTGCAAATTTACTGAAGGTGCACTCAACCCCCTTGTCCAGATCATCAATAAAAATACCATGAAATGGAAAAAAGGGTAGGTAGGGGGAAGGTGATGTAGTTTTGGTTTTGTCTTTTACTATCCAATCTATTTTGATTGGCAAAGAAGCAAGCTAATTTTCCCCCAAATCACTGTAGTTTGCCCACATGGTAATCAGTCAATGATCTCCCTGTCTTTATGTTGACCCATGAGATTTTTCATCTCATTTTGTCCCCCTGTCCTCCTGAGGAGCTGGAGTGAGAGCTGGGTGAGAGCCTGTCAGCCGGCCAGGCCAGCATACATTTGCACCCACAGGAATGAGAGAATTTATACAAATGAGAGAATTCACACACCTCTCCTCCCTGCCCCGCGGCTCCTGCTCCAGCTGCGCTGTTTCTGACAGATTTCACTCACGGCTCTGGGGTTTGCCCGTCCCATCCAGCCCAGCCGCCGCTGCGCGGTTCCCGCCGCGGCCCCGCGCCTCTGTGGGGCCGCCGCCATCGCCCTGAGGGAGCGTGGCCGCGCCGCGCCACAGCGCCCCCTGCAGGGCGGGGCCGAGCCAGCAGCGCCCCTGGCGGCCGTGCCCGGAACTGCAGGCAGCGCAGCGCGCCGCAGCCGGAGCGGCCGGGCGGGATCGGGCCGGGATCGGGCCGGGATCGGGGCCGGGATCGGGCCGGGATCGCGCCGGGATCGGGCCGGGCTCGGCTTGGCACACACACGCACCGTGAGGAACTGCTTTTCCCGCATCTCTGCATGAAAGCCCCTGAATTTCTACGTTATAATAATTGGGAGGGAAGAGGATCGTATTTTTTTCCATTTCAAAGAAGGTTCCCACCTTCCTTGACAGATACCTGTCCTTCAAACCAAGAAAATCAAGGTGGCTTCTCCACCTTCATTAGCATCTGCAGTGGCCCAGTTCTTGGACCCAAAAGTGTCTCAGAGGTGAGAGGTCCCTTTCTATAAGCATGGCCATGGTACACACCTCAGTACCCCCGAAGGCAAGATACTGATGGTATCAATATCAGGCAGAAACATCCCAATAGGGTCAACAACCTTTGTGGGATGGTCACTCCAGGACCAAGAAAAGGAAAAAGTTTAGCCAAAAAAATTTGTGTTAACACCGATGTGGCAAAACACCAGCCTCTGAGGGGCCCACCCCACTTCCTTGCGCCTGTTAGAAAGAGGCTGTGGCACCGAAGAGGGATGAAGTCACAGCCAGTAACCCCTCAGGGCAAAACATGCTCCATGTTGGGTAAGTATGTGGGTGAAATCCTCAGCTTCTCCTCAAAATGAGTCACATTGCAGTGCTGACAGCACATCCTCGTTTTATGCCGGAGTCCTGCTGCCACACTACTGCTGTGAACACAGCAGTACTGTCCAAGGCAGACACAAGGTTTGTGATGTGCTGAGTATTCCCAGTCCCAGGCTTTATGTTCTCATCTAGGTTTTTTTCCAAATTATATCTCCCACTGACCACAATTTGGGAAATCATGCTCCCGAATTTGTGAGAAACTTGTGCAAAAATCCACCCACCTGGCTTCCTATATATTCCCCTCAAGACGCTTGCCTGTTTTCCTAAAATCTGACGGACGGGCGGCTGTATACCACGGGTGAATGGTGGCTCCTACCAGGCAAGCAAAAAAGCAGAAGATACCACATGGGCTTTGTCTCTGTTCCGCTTTCAGCAGCACAGTGGGGACTTAGCCTGTGGTTCCTGGGAGGAGGTCAAAGCTATAACAGCAAGTGGGGCAGCACAGTGCATTCATTCGCTGTGCCCCGTTTTTGGGCTAACGCGGTGTTCCTGTCACCCTACACAGGCTGCCGGGCTGCAAAATGGGCGGAGTTGTAGATGGGAATATGTACTTGTGGAGGAGTATAACACAAGCAGCAGAGTGGCGCAGCGGAAGCGTGCTGGGCCCATAACCCAGAGGTCGATGGATCGAAACCATCCTCTGCTAGCAGCGTTTTTTCCTTCCGTTTTCTCGGGCGGCGGAACCGTCACCGGGCCACGAGGCGGCGGCGCGGCAAGGGGGACAGCGTGGCCGGTTAGCTCAGTCGGTTAGAGCGTGGTGCTAATAACGCCAAGGTCGCGGGTTCGATCCCCGTACGGGCCAGCATAGCTTTTTTCCTCCGTGTCAATTTTTTTTTTAAACCCGTCTCGTCCGGCCCTGCCTTTTTCGGCAATGAAATAGTCTGTAGTAAAACAGGGATCCTCCCTGTGCTGCTCAGCCCTGGCAGGTGGTCCATTGGGAGAGCTTCTAGGCTCTCCCTGTGTTTTCTTTACTCTTCCTTTTCCAGATGTTCATTCCAGTTAAGGATAAACCTCACTGGTGCTCATGGCAGGTGCACTGTCTCCAGCAGCCCTCCAGACCTGGGACTGACCTCAGCTGTGCCAAGGCTGGACTCAGGTGTGCAGCACTATCCATTGCACCTGCTGGTGCTGTGGAGGGGCTGAAGGTCAGACCTCGGCCAGCAAGGTTTATTTTGGCCAACTGAGGAGAGAGAAGAATCAGCTGGGGTAGAGAGGGAGCTTTGGTGGGCAGACAGGGCAGTGCAGTCAGTTGTCATGAGAGAAGGACAGTTGGGGTCCCACACCTTGTGTCAGGATGCTGCCCAAGGTCACTCTGTGAGACTGAGAGCCTTCAGTTTATTGGGTGAGTGTTTGCACATTCTGTGTTACCCGTCAAAAATCTTGAGAACTCTGAAGTCACTCAGGTAGTACAAATTCCACTTGACATCACACATCTCTGTGCAAATATTGACAGAGCTTTAATTAGTTTGATTTGCTTATCTGCTTTAACTACTTTATAAGACAAATCTCATAAAATTATCTGTGGATTTTATAAGCCTCCTTGGCAATGCTACAGTCAACATTGCCCATTTAAAAAGTGAGTAATTGTGAGAAACCAGGTGTGCACAGGAAGTGCATCAGTCAGTGTCCTGCCCATGCACCTGATGAAGCACCCCAAGAGTGACAAATGTCCATGTCCCCCACTGTCAGCCAACAGCGAGGCTGAGTGTGTAACCCCAGGAGGCACAGACTGTGGCTGTAATCCCAGAATGGCAGATGGGCATTAGAGGACACCCAGGCCATCATATCCTTACCCCTCTATTTTCCCACATCTATGGCTCCCCAAAACCACCTTGGTCCCTCCTTTTCCTCTCATTTCATTCCTCCCCTGAACATCCCATAAGACACAATCTGAAAAAGCTTTTTCCTTGTATCCTCCTGAAATTCTGAACGGAGAAGGATGTGTCCCAGAGCCAACCTGCCACCACCTCAAACTTGAGCTGCCCTGACAGTCCCAAGAGCACCCTGCAAACTGACATCAGGAACCTGGGCTGGCGATTTTCTTTCACAGGGAAAAGGGACAGTGTTTGTGTTCAGGGGCCTGTGGCCCTGAGTGGGCGGCCACCTCCAAAAAACCCAAATGGTGAAGGATGTATCCCGGACCCATCCTCTGCCCCCCATGAGGGACCAGATGTGACCTGCAGGGTGGTTCCATTCACCCTGTGGCTGGGAGCCACCTCTGGGCCCAAAAAAAGCCCTGGGAGAAGTTGGGACAGGGAATCCCTGGCATGGTGGAGCTTCTCAGGGCTACTCCACCTTTCCATGCTTCATTCCAGGAGATGAGCTTTTAATCACATAACCTAATGCTGTCTCACATGGTACAGGCTGACCCTAATACACCTGAAAAACACCCCACATCCTGCCCTATTCCTTCCAGTGTCCCTGGAAACCTCAGGGGACCGACAGCCCCCAGGACATTGAGCTGAAGTGCCACAGAGGACAGCCCCTGCCCCAAGGTGCTGCACCCATCCAAGGTCACTGCAGCTCCCAGCAGCACCTCCAGCTCTGCAGAGCCCGGAGGGAACAAGGCTGAGGTTACCAGAGGGGTTGAACATGTGGTAGGGGGTGACAGGGGCCAGGGAAGAGGCTCCAAGAAGGGATGTCAGGGCTGGAGCTGGAGCTCAGGCATGGGATACAGCTCTGGGTTTTCAGGTGGGACCACTCCTGAGCATTGATATCCTAGAATATCAGCCTTCTTCCTTGGGTGCCACTTCACCCTGGGGCTTGATCCCCTGGGACTGTACGAAGCAGATCCCCACAGAGGCCATCTGCACTCCTGATGCCCAGCATTGGGACCATAACTTGCGCCTGGCTACCTCCCCTCAGGCCTCTGAACTCCACCACCCCAGTTTTACCAAGGGGAGCAGCTGCACTTCATTATTTATCATGGTAGGAGAAACCCAGACCTTGCAAATCTCATTTTATCACCTGTTGAAGCAGGTACATCTTGAGTTTAGGAATCACCACCTAACTGTCATTAGAATGGACGCATTTTCTCCTAATTAGGGACATAGAATTCATCAACAGCCCCTAAGCTCCCAGAGCCATTAGGAGGCACCCTACTGCCTGGAGACCCTCTGGAACCATGTATGGTAACACCTGAGCTCCAAGAAACCCACTCACCTGTTTTATGTGTCTTGCCCTAAGTGTTGAAGCTGTTCCCTCCCTTATCTGGCACAACCTCCTCGTTTGACCTGGCTCCTGAGGCAAAGGGGGCTGTAATGCTTTGTAAATGAATAATCACATCAGCATCACTGGGAGGACTGAACATGGGATTTCCCATGTTTGGGAGAGATCAATCTGGTTTCAGATATAGGTGCTGGAATGCTGTGAACAGGCACATGGTAAACCAGGGCAAGCCAAATGCAGGAACATTTCCTGGCAGTTTATGTGGCCAAAGGAAGTTTTGGCAATAAGAACCAACAGCTCTGTTCCCTGTACTACAAATCATGTTTTTAGGTTAATACATACAACACAAGCAGCTTTAACAAGCACAATATATATACACTCTCAAGGATCAAAATCCATCTGTTCCAAGGCCTTATTTAGGCACTGTTGCCTCCCCCACTGCTCTTGCCAGAGGTTCCTGCCTTCTGCATGCGGCTCGCGCTCGGCTGTCGTGGCATCCTCTGGGCAGATCCTTCCCGGCTGCTTCTTTCGGCCAGAATCTGTGACCCACCGACAGCAGAGCTGGTTTTATTTCTCCCTGAATAAACAAACACATCCATTAGTTTTCACACCCCAACCCAAGCACCACCACACAGCAGCTAGCCACAAGCCTTCCCTCAGGAACCATGCAGGAGGCAAAATTCCATTAGACCCCACAAACATCTTCAGCATCCAGTGCAGAAAGCAAACTGGTGAATTCAGCCCAACAGGTATTGGTGCCAGGGTGCCACAGAAACCCAAAGAAGTTACAGTAGAAGCATTTTTAATTTTCATGAGGTTTAATCTACAAAGTAACCAGTCACTTTGTTCCAGTCATTGCACACTGAACAGCAGCATAGCAAACAGCACTGCTGGAACATCAAGAGTTTCCAACACCTCGAGCTGGGATAAGTGAAAGGATGTGCCAGTGGTGTCTGAGACTGCTGCCACATCATCAGATCACACACACCTCTCTCCATATCACTTCTGTCAACCAGTGAGCAGATTTGGACCTTCTATCATTTTTTTGGGTTTTCAGGAACTCCTACACCTACACAGGACTTCCACATGCTCTTACTGAGTTTGGAGGTGAGGGCTCCCCTCCTGGAGGCACAACTGACGGGCTCTAAGAGGCAGAGTGGGAGCAGGGAGCAGCAGTGGATACAAAGGTAGAAACAGAGAGGCAAGGGGCAACAGGGTGCTGTCAGAGGAGAGAGTGACAGACTCACTGTTGCTGACACAAATGTCAGGAGGGGATGAGGAACACTGACTTGTCCTGCCACTCCCTCAGGTGAGAAATAAGACTCACTTTAGGACAGAGAATAAAAGGAACATTATGTTCAAATTTTACTAAAGATAGCAACCTCCATGAAGCGTCATAAAAATGAATAATAGCAACAAGAAAACAAAACAGGAATACAGCGGGCTGTAGTTACATGCATGTAATTTAAATGAAGAATGACATTTTGACAACCATTCACAGTGCAACCTGCACAATATCAACAAGCTGCTCTAGACTCTAGAGACTCCATGGACATTATCTTGGGTCATCTGTGCTATGGACAGTCCACAGTTACTTACCAGACCATCCTGTCTCCTTGGAGCAGGTGTCTGGGAACAGGACTCCCATCAATACTACCAGTTAACACCTTGATGCACCAGAAGGACAAAATAAGAACTTCCAAGTAGGAGCAGGTGGCCATTATTAATCTGTAAAATTTGGGTTGACACAAAAATCCATTCACTTATCCCAGCCAAGTCAGGTGCTCTTGAAAAACTCTCTGCTTGTCAAGCACGGCAGTTCTGTGCCAGCAGTCACCCTCCCAGTCAGCCAACCAGCCTTGCCAGCTGTGCTGTAGCTCAGGCACTTTAAGCAGCTTCACTAAAGCAAGTGCTGCTCATGAAAACAAACACACTGCACAAAGGTAAGATGTGATCTCACAGTATTTGAGAGAAAGAGGCAGGATAAAAGCATTATTCACCATTCACGCTTTTAGCAATCCTGGATATGTCCCCAATGTCCTCCCCCTTCTGACATGCATCTGTCTGCTGAGAGGGCAGGTCCTGAACCCACCTACAACTCCAGCTGTGTGCACACACACACTGCTACCCTCAAGCACTACTGGACTTGGGCCCTCAATGTTCTGACCCGGCCAAAACAACTTGGAGAGAAAGAGTCATTTGACTGAAGAGAAACTGGGCTCAAAGCACATGCCCTCCATCCCCCTAGCCTTGAAATCACAGTAAAACAAACCAGTTAAACTGCTTCAATACCCAGAATATTTTTGGAAGCAGCCTGTGCAGACTCCATGTACCAGACAAGGACAGCTTCTGAAGTGTGCAGGGACAGACATGGTTTGTGCTTCACTCAGTTACATTATCAGAGATAACAGATTCAATTACTACAAAGCACAAAAGCAGCTCAACGACCCTAAACTCTCTGTAATTCAAGTACTACAGAGGAACAAAAGGATTCCTCTGATATTTTCCTTGGTGACTGTCATGGTTTGACACTGGCCAAATGCTAGGCACCTACAAAAGCCATCCACTCAGGCAGAGTCCCTCACTTTTCTCTAAGAGCTCTATTGAGTCTGATTTTTTGAGTGTTTCTTTGATAGGGTGGGGGGAAAGAATGAATTGTCACTCAGAGTTTGACTTGTAACTCGTATCTCATTACTGTGCAACAAAATCACACGACAAATCTGGCATTTGCAGTATTCCTCTCAATCCTTTTTCTTCTGTCAGGTCTTGCCTTGCAGAGCATGAAGAGGCAGAAAAAAAGCTTGATAATCAGCCTGAAAAGACATATTGAAAAAATTATGCCAGTGTAGCATTCAGCTTGATGCCCAGCAGAGAAGAAAGCTCAGAGCCTCAGGTAACCCTGCAAAGCTCCTGCAAGAAAAGTGTGACAGGAGAGAGGACCTCCATGGCCACCCACTCTTTTGGGACTAGAGCCACACCAAGCTGGGAGCATTCCAGCCTAGACTTTTTGCAATTTATTCCTGGGATAAGGAAGAACAAATAAAAGCTGTTTGTCTGCTGTTTCTGCTGAAGTAGAAAATACAACTTCACTACCCATCACCTGTATTTTAAGAGGTTCAACATTTATTAATACCTCCTGGGAGAGAAAAGGTACAGGAATTTTTAACCAAGGCAATTTCAGTCATCCAAGAAAGCACAGTACAGCTGAGAAATTTTTTGTCAGTTCTAAAATAACTGACATAATTATAATTTCCGTACCAGAAGATAATAGAGGTCTATAAACTGAAGCTAGTTGGTTGCCTACAATACAGAAAAAAATATTCATTTTGGAATGTGAGGCTGGGGGGAAGGGAGGAGAACAGCAACAACTTCACATCGGGAATTTTCTGTGCACAGAATCTACCGTGTCCATCATTACAGAAAACATGAATCAAGGCCTCTCATTCAAAAGGCTTAAACTCTATTGTTTATGGTAGGAAAAGCTGGGGGGAGTGAGAGTTGCAGGTTAAAATCCAGAAGACAACCTAACTGCTCCTCAGTGACTGTAGGAAATCCACTCATTGGAGTGGTATTGATGGAGTGGAAAAAAACAGAGTATGAGCAACTAAGAAGAAGAAAACCATGATCAGGACTCTATTAGTCCTTTAATTAGTCCTATATAAGTCACCAATAGGTCATTATACAGATCTTTTTTCAGAGAAGACATGCAGACCACGAAGTGTCTGGGAATATTTTCAGGTGCAAGACACACATTGCCACCACCGAGACCCCATGGAGATATTTAATTTATAATTAAAGCATAATAGCCAGTATAACCCACAGGAAAATTCACTGTATTATGTATAAACCCCAGATTAAATAAATGTAAGATAAATCCTTTGCATCTCCAAGGGGATTCCCTCTCTGCCATATCAGAGCTTTACACAGAATTCTCCTTGTCAGCATTATCCTTATCTCCTTAATACAGAAGTCTACACTACAAATCCCACATCAAGTTGAACCCTGAGATAACTCAAGGCTGAGTGGAAGAGTAATGCAAAGCAGCTGGCACGGCCAGCCAGCAGCACCCAAGAGTGCTGACAGTCACCACTCCAAAAGGCTGGTCACAGCTAAGACAGACCGCACAAAGGGAAAGAAAGAAGTGAGAAAAACAGATAAACAAGGAAGGATAAAAACCACAAAGATGGCAAGCAGAACACGCAAGAAGGACAAAGTTGGCAACGAGCTGTGTAATACTGAGAAATAGTTACAAAACAACTGAACAGCAACACTTACAATTCTGAGGCCTTGATTATATCTAAGTATATACACAGGAATAAAGGAGTTAAAAATGCAGGGGCAGAAAAGGACTTGTGATTGTCCACAGCATATATTTCCACACAGACCACAAAAACTCACCATGTAAACCTTTGACAGAGCCCATAGCTGGTGATGGGCTCAGTGTTTTTTCCAACAGGCACTGGAGTTTGTGAGAGTTTCCCTGGGCAGGAGAGCGTTTTGACCCCTGCCATGCACAACTCCTTTCTCCCTGTGCCAGTTAGCTCCTTGCAGCCCTAAAATCCACACACCAAGTGATAAGGCCCACAAAAGAGACACGTTTTGAAAACCAAGTTCATGTTAACAATGCATTCAGAAGAGAAATTAGCTGGGGCAAAGCTTCGGGAAGTAATTTTATGGGGAGACACTTTCTGGGGAAGTAAGGAATGTGAAAAAATAGGTTGGAGTGCAAAGAGTGAGAGAAGTATCAAAGACTATTCATCAGCCTAAAAAAAGAGCAGGGCATTGACATATGCATGTGTATAGAGGTAGAGAACTGCAGCAGAACCCACAGGGACTTGAGGGTTGGCTGATGTAAACAGGAAGCACAGAAACAGTATGTGAGAAAATGGGACACTTAATTACATATATGTCTAGTCTAGGCCAAACTCAACACCACGGTCCTTAACAGAACCCTCCCCCTCACACACAGGGAAAGGACAGGGAAAGGACACTCTGGAAATTCTTTCTATTTCAATTCAGCACTTTCCCTCCCAAATGAAATGCTGAGGGACCATTTTGAACATAGCTCAAATTAAGTTGCATCCAGTTAAATATGCCAGATGGATGCTCCAATACCCACACACAGCAATTTGCAGACAGCTGTCATGGATTCAGTTACCAGCCAACAGAGAACGCCACGGCTGTGTTCTCTGGGAAAATCAGAGCTCCTAATTTCAGACTCCCTGATGCTTCATCAGCACAAAAGCTGAAATAACTACAGGCATCCCCCACCACCAAGAGTACTGACCAGAACTGCTGCATCAGCCTTATTTTAGCTGTTTTTTAAAGCCTCCCTGCACCATGATGTGCTGGGAAACCTAAGCCAGGATCTCATTACTGATACAAATGAGCAGAGCAGGCTTGGGTGAGACCAGGACTCCTTCAGCCACTTGTCTACCTCCTGACAGGGAGGGAGTGCAGGGGCTGAGCTGAAAGGCACAAAGCAGCTTGAGAAGCTTGCACAGGACAATTGCTGTTCTTGTCACAAGCACAGAGCTTGGGCTGTAACCACACAAACCAATCCCAGCAATGCAGAAGAGGCATCTCCCCTAGTCAAATGCCTGGTCCTGCATGGAAGCTGCACCATCCTCTTCTTATATGGAAGCAGCATCTTCCAACAAGAGATTGCAGAGCCAACAGCAGGCAGCACTTAGGTTCGTTCTCCCTCTTTACAGCAGCTCCTAAAGGGAAAGGAGGCAAGGCAAGGCAAACCCAACAGTCCTGCAGAACAGATCCAGCCCAGAGGCCACCCCCAGACACCCTATTAACACTTACCCAACTCCTGAAGGATGGCCTTGGACTGTGCCCAGAATGAGAAAGCTCAGTGAAAGAGAAGTGATTCTTTTTCAAGTTGAAGGATGCTAAGTTTAGATCAGATATTGGAAAGAAATTCTTCCCTGTGAGGGTGGGGCGTCCCTGGTACAGGTTGCCCAGAGAAGCTGTGGCTGCCCCATCCCTTGAAGTGTCCAAGGCCAGGCTGGACAGGGCTTGGAGAAACCTGGGACAGTGGAAGGTATCTCTGACCATGGCAGGGGGTGGAATGATATGAGCTTTAAGGTCCCTTCCAACCCAAACCATTCTCTGAGTCTGTGATCCTTACAAGGAGGACTGGACAAAATACATCCTTCACATTAACAGGATCTTACCAGCACTTCTTAAACCCACAGAAATGAAAACATGGGCCTAAAGTTGTGATAAGCCCCTGTTGGGCATAAATTCTGCCTAAAGCATTTTCTGAGCATTAGCTTTTAAATGACAATTTTATTCACAAAGGAATTAGCTGATGTCAGTGGGTGCTGTGTGACAGTAAAGTCACTTGGGCTGGCAGAAACTAAAGAAAGAAGCTTTCACTCAAAGTGAGTTAGGACTTTAACACAAGCTTACAGAAAATAAAAAACCTGACACAGCTGGGAAGACCAAGCCTTCTGACAAGGTACAGAAGTGCTGTCCATTGCAATTTGGTCAGGGATGAATGTGAAAAGAAAGAGGAGGCCCAAGTGCCTCTTCATCACCATTTCCAAGCAACAGCTTGCAAAGAGGGCAAATCCAAGCTTAGCATTTAATGTTTGACCACATCTGCAGCAAAACTGTGGCTTGATGGGCACAATGTTTCTGTTTCAGCAATTCCAGTGCATTAACTTGCACCAAGGACATATTTTAACCTTGGGAAATAAGGCAGCAATTGGCCAAACTGGCCACTGAAAGCCAAACTAATACCAGAAATATTTACCACAAGCAACACCATCTTTCCCTGAAGCTCACTACACTTTCCCTTTGGTTCCAAGGGCTTGTCCCAGAGAACTGCAGGATATTAACATGTCCATTTTAAAGGGATACTACAAAGAGAAAAGCCTGGCTGGACACATTAGAACTGAAATCTGAGTCAGACCAGAAGATGCTCTACTAAAGATGCAGAACGAGCACCAAATTAAGCTCTCAAGACAACTACTAACTCCTGCAGTCTCAGCCTCTCTAAGATGCCTGCAGCAGAGTGGTAGAAGGCAACAATTAAGCACATACCAATTCTACCTTAGGGCTTCTGGCTTTCCCTCTCGAGAAATTTAATGCTGATTAAAAAACAAGTGGCCATTGGCCTGTTTTAAACCCTGAGCAAGCCCACTACTAGCTAAAATTAGCTCATAGCAGTAGCTCAGTGCTAGGAAAAAAAAAGCCTCACTTGTCCAGAAAGTACCCCTTAAAGAGCATACATGAGAGAACAAAAACTGCTCCACATTACAGACAGACAGGATCAAAAACCTCAGCAACGTTCCTTCGCAGTTAGAGTAGCCTCTAACAGATGGGGCAGCAACAGAGGAGAGAGAGCAAAATTTAACAGCATCCTTTGTTCAAAATCTCTGCTCTTTTGGGATATTTCCTCTTAATGTGGTACCAGAATAGCTCACTGCTTCACACTTGACAAAAATCCAAGTGCTGCACCTCTCCCATTTTGTTTAGGAAAAAGTACTCAGGTGTCTGTCCTCCCTTGCCTGCCCCTGCACATATTCAGAGTCACTTCTCAGTCACATGTGAGGCTGTTCTCTTCAGCACAACCACCTCCTCTACAGAGAATTCTGAACCAGGAGCACCTCCAGAGAAAGGGAAACCTGTTCATGGTGAGTCCAAGGAGCCCTGGACACTTTATCCACACACTCTGTTTGAGCCTCAGCAAACTCCCTGAGTTCCCCTCAGCTGCTCAGAGAGGGGATTCACCTTGAGCTTTGCCATTATAAAAGCACCAGATTGTGGCATAACTCCTTCATGCCAAAAGTGACTGCTTTTCAAAGTAAACCCCCTCTCAACTTCACTTTCGATATGACTTGCAAGCACAGCCAAGAGAATAAACGTGCCCAACCACCACCAGTGCCCCTGTCTGACACACTTCTGAGCACAAGAGAAATAAACTTTTCCACTGTGAATCCAGGCTTAGTGACAGCAGACTTATTTTAGTCACTTATTTTTAAACCTTTTGGAAGTAATCCACAGAGTTGGTGAGCAAAAAGTCACTTCAGGGAGTAAATAGAAATTTTATTAGAACTGGTTATAAATAAAATAAAATTATATATATATATGTAAATATATATATATGGCACAAATTCAGGGCTATGGTTGTCACTGTTCACGGACATTAGAGTATTAAGGAGAGATAAATGCATTCAAAAGCAGTAACTGCTTTATCTAACAGCCCCCCACAGCCTTCTACTTTATCTCCCTACACAAATGCCATCGCCAGAGGATGGAAACAGCTGTATGAGTGTTAGAAGCCACCACGCACATGGGGGGATAGAGTAAAGGAAGCAACATAGCTCTCTTCATTTTCCAGGAATTATTCATGGCCCGGAAACGTTACCTTTTTAAAAGTTATATACAAACAAAGCAGTACTGAATATTACTGTAGAATAAAGAGTTTTTTCCCTGTTAAGGGCTTGGCGAGCAGAGCCAGGAGGCTACAAAACACAGCACAAGTACTGCAGCAGCCTCCCCCCGTCCCCCTCGATGCCTAAAACCCACGAGCACTAAGGCAGACGGGGCTGCGTCCGGGCCGGGGCTCGCACGGAGCGGGCCCCCCGGGGCCGGGGCTCAGACGGAGCGGGCCCCCCGGGCCGGGGCTCAGACGGAGCGGGCCCCCCGGGCCGGGGCTCAGACGGAGCGGGTCCCCCGGGCCGGGGCTCAGACGGAGCGGGTCCCCCGGGCCGGGGCTCGCACGGAGCGGGTCCCCCGGGCCGGGGCTCAGACGGAGCGGGCCCCGCGGGCCGAGGCGCTGCCGGGGCCGGGCCGGGCGGCCCGCGGGCCCCTTCCCGCGGCGGCCCGGGCGCGGGGCAGCGCCAGGCGCGCTCCGGGCCGCGGCAGGCGCAGCGCGGTCCCGGGGGCCGGCGGGCTCCGGCCGCGCTCGGGGCGGGCCCGCCCCGGCGAAGGGCCCCGCCCGCCCCGCCCCGCCCGCCGCGTACCTCGGCTGTCGGCGGGCATCGGCGCGGCGGGGCCGCTCTCGGCGGCCGGCGGGAGCCGCTGCCCGGCGCACATCGACTTCAGCACCTGGAACACGGCGAGCGGCGCCACGTTCATGCGCAGCAGGTCCAGCAGCACCCTGCGGGGGGAACACCGGCACCGGGAGCGCCGTCAGACGGGGCTCCGGCGTCACCGCCGGCTCTCGCGGTGGCGCCCCCCCCCCACCGCTCACCGGAACACCTCCGGGTCCAGCCCGCTGCCCGCCGCCTGCGCCAGTTCGAACAGCTCCGCCTCCTCCGCGCTCAGCAGCTGCTTCCGCCGCAGCCGCGTCTCCGCCATCGGCGCCGGGGCCGCCATAGCTGCCGTCCCCTCCGACATGGCTGCGCGGTCCCGCCCCCTCACACCGGGCCGCGCCCCCTCACACCGGGCCGCACCCCCTCACGGTTCGGCAGTCGCTCCGCCCCCGCCGCTCCGGGCCTGTTGCTCTCGTCGCGGCCGGCGGGTGGCAGCAGCGCTCCAGCCGCGCCCCCGGCCGCGGAGTGACGGGGTGAGGTGAGAGGTGTGCGGTGTGAGGTGAGAGGTGTGCCGTGTCCGGTGTGAGCAGTCCGCTATGTGGTGTGCAGTGCCCAGTGCCCGCTGTGCGGTGCCCGCTGTGCAGTGCCCGGTGTCCACTGTGCAGTGCCCGGTGCCCGCTGTGCGGTGCCCCATATCCGCCCCGGGGTCCGCTGAGCACAAAGGGCAGTGCGGCAGTTTGGGGTGTGGAGGTGCCATGGGGACCAGCGGAGCTACAGAGAGCCCACGTTCTCACCCCAGCTGTCCCCCGGGCCGGGCGGCAGCTCCCTTGAACACGCTGCAGTCCCTGAGCCCAGAGAGCACCTGGGCATCATGGGGAACAAAACGGGAAATTTGGGTCCTGAGTCGCACCATGGCGAAGAGCTGGCAAACTGAGATTGAAATTCCTCTGTCTAAATGGAAATGAGCTGTTGCCATTAGGGAAGGATGGTCCATCATCACTGCCCCAGCCCAGCACACACAGGCCCTGGAGCTGCGCTGTTAATGGGGAACAGAGCAGAGGGATCTCTGTGTCCCCCCGGCATCGCTGTGACAGACCTCATCCCATCCCTACACCAAGCCCCAGGAGACAGATGCTCACACTCCACATCCCAGGCAACCTGTGAGTCTGTCAAGGTGACCCGACCTTGTGACCTGATGGCCAGGCTGACAGACATTTATGGCAGAAGCCAAGACAGGAATGACATGGATGATGATAAAAGGATCTTGCTCTTTATGGCCCGAAGCAGGGCCAGCTCAGCAACAACAATCATTGCTGTGTTTTGAGTGGGAGAGCCGCTCCAGCACGAGTGACTGTGCTGTCTGTAGGGCTGCCAATGCTGAAGCCACAGAGCCTAAGGTTGTCCCAACAGCTGGACTTTCAGAGGGACCCTAAGTGAGTGCTCTGAAAAACACCCCTGTGCTTGATCTCTTGCCTGTTCTGGTATATGATGTGCCACTTCCTTTGGGACAGGCTGGAAGTCGAGTGCAAATGCCAAGAATCCTCATTGTGTGGCTGATGCAGTCTCCAGACTTGGTCCCACATGGACTACCTCCCTCAGCCTGTGGCATGTGAGAGCTCAACTACACCTCACAGCAGAAGAAAGTGAGATGCTTTTTAGCTCAGCCCTTCTCTGGGGAAAAAAAAACAAAAACAAAAACAAAAACAAAAAACACCCAGGAACTGTCTTTTGTACAACAAACTGGAGACGTTTCAGCATGTACCTCCCTCCTTCCCAGCCCCAGTCTGTTCCAGCTGGCAGCTCTCCTTGTGTGCTGTGGTCACTAGCACAGGGCTGGAGACCTTCCCAGGGCAAAGGACAGGAGACTTTGTCCCTCCCATGCTTCCTTCATAGGTCACAGCTGTGTCACACCTTCCCCACGTCTGGATGGGCCCAGTCTGCAACTTGGAGTGACAACCCTGTCCTCTGGACTTCCAGGTTTTCTCTGAAGCATTTCTGGAGGCTTCATTATCTCTGTTTCTCCCTTTTGCTCTCCCAGTCCAACAGGTCAGTAGAGGAAGTCCTTGGGAACCTCCCCTGTGGAGGCCTCAGTTACTGGAGCTGCACTCTGGATGGCACATGGGACTCTGGCTTAAATGACACTGAGCAGGACACTGGGTCTTGCAGCCCACCAGACACTCTCCATTGCCTCTGGCAGGACTTTAAAACCCAGCTACCACTCAGTCCATGGTTTCCAGAGAAGGACGAGCCAGGACAGCCCAGGATGTCGATGCCAGGCTGCATCTCAGCCCTTGCAGGACATGTTTAAGGGAAGGGCTGAGCAGATGGGGGCAGAGGAGGCTCCAACAGCCTGCATGTGCAGAAGGAAAAGAGCCAGGAGCAGCAGAGAGCCTGCAATCCTTGGAGTGAGTGACCAGAAGGAGCTGTGGGTTGCTCAGACATGGCCCTACACAGAGGCAAAGCGATGCTGAGCCTTCCCTGGGCACCAGGACACACTGTGCACGGCCAGGGGAGCACACCAGGGCCAGGCTGTGCCTGTGCACAGGTAACCACGGCAGGAGAAAGGCTGGTGGCTGTGCAGGTCATCAAGCTGAGTGGGATATGAAGGACAGAATGCCTGAGGTACAACCACTGGTTGAGGACACACTGTCAGTGCATGAGATGAGGGTCAGCATGACACCAGGGAGGGAAGGAGCAAGGTCACCTCCCTATGAAAGATGGGCCAGGCTTAAGAAAACCTGGATATGGCTCAAATCTCAAACAAATGCAGGAAATGTGCCTACCACATCCAGAAAATGGAAAAGAGGGATTCAAATGTATCTGGACTTTTCTATCTTTCTGAGGCTTTTTTGAAGGAAACCCAGCTCCCAGATAGAAAAGCAAATGCAAACAGGATTTATCACAGATACATTGTTTCAGGATAAGGTAATGATTTCTCTTTGATAATTGACTTTGACAAGGTGATGCAGAGCATCGTAGTAGAATGTGTCCCTGCCCATGACAGAGGGCTGGAACAAGATGAGCTTTAAGGTGTCCTCCAACCCAAACCATTTTATGATTCTACGCTTTTATGATAATTTAGCCTGGTTACATTTAAGAAAGAAGTTTGATTTGCACCCAGTATGAAGCAGTTTCCAATGCTGAAGTCATGGGTATGGATTTAACACGAGGAACCAGATAACCAAGTAAAATGCTGGGCTGTGTTAAAGGGATGTCTCTGAGCAGCTTCCAGCACTGCTCCCCACTTCAGTCTTGGGATGCCCCCACTAATGTTAACAGCAAGAAGTGTAGGGCTGGTAGTGTAGAATCATCATGCCTGGGATGTTCTGGGGAGGGACACAGCCACACCACTAGCAAGGCACTGGGATGGTCTCACCTGGAAGATCATGGAATCCTAGGTTTGGGTCAGAAGGTCACCTAGGCCAACGTCCTATTGTGAGCAGGGACCTTCGATCAGGTTGCTCCAAGCCCCGTCCAACCTGGCCTTGAATGTTTTCACACATGGCACTTCCACCACCTCTCTGAGCAACCTGCATCAGGGTTTTACCACCCACACTGTAAAATACTTCTTGTATCTAATCTAAATCAATGCTCCTTTTAGCTTAAAACAATTTCCCCTTCTATGAGCCTGAGCATGGTGGTATGGAGACAGGACTTCAAAACTGTGCATGAAAAATGACAGAACTACTCACAGGTGTAGACTCAAAATTAGGTGGAGGCATCCAAGCAGAGACATCTTGGGACAATTTCCAAACATGACACCAGGAACAAGTAAGTGGTTTGGAAGGATGTTGGGAACCATTCTGAAGGGACTGAGTGACAGAGGTCTCCAAGTCAGAAGTTGAAACTTGTCCTTTGGGTCAAATATTTGGTCTTTAGGAAAATATTAGAGGGTAGGCATTCAGCTGGGACATGTCTGTGCCACTGCACATGTGTGCTATGTATGTGCTATCCTGCACATTCCATTGGCAGCCTGAAGGGACCGGGAGCAAATTTCTCTCCTTTGCTCTAAACTCTGGCAGCTGAGCTGTTATCTGATCCTCCTGTAGATTGCTGTGGTTGGAGGCAAAACACAGCACACAGCGTTCTCAGGGATACCCAAGTAACTTAAGCATCCAAACTAATCACTAGGCTTGGACTTCAAGGAACTTCTCCAGGCCAGAGGGGCAGGAAGGGGGCATGGATGACACAGTGAGGGTTTAACCCAGTCCCACAAGATCAGTTGCTGGTTCTCTCCAACCTCTGAGGTACTTAGGAGCCTTGATGACCTGTGCTGGGATGGATGATGTGAGGCTTGGCACTAACCAAAGGGCTTAATTTCTAGCAGGTGGGAGACATTAGGGACAGAATTCAGTGAACACAGCCCACTTTCCCAGGTGGTCGAACTCCAGTTCTGCCTTGTATCAGCCTTTTGTCCCTCTTGATTGCCTCCATCCTGCAAAACTACATATTTTCATAGAATTGTAGAATGGTTTGGGTCAGAAAGTACTTTAAAGCTCATCTTGTTCCAATCCCCTGCCATGGGCAGAGAAACTTTCCACTCTCCCAGGTTGCTGCAAGTCCCATCCATCCTGGCCTGGAACACTTCAAAGGATGGGGCAGCCACAGCTTCTCTGGGCAGCCTGTGCCAGGGCCTTACCACTCTCTCAGCCAAGAATTTCTTCTTACCTCATCGAAACCTGGCCTCTCTCAGTTTGAAACCATCCCCCCTTGTCCTGTCACTCCAGGTCCTTGTCCAGAGTACCTCTCCAGCTCTCTTGGAGACCCTGAGGGCACTGGTAAGGGCTTAAGGTCTCCCTGGAGTCTTGTCCTCTCCAGGCTAAACAGCCTGAACTCCTCCAGCCTGTCTTCATGGGAGACAGCCCTGTGAGCATCATTTTGGTCAGTGGAGTCCTGTGCAGGGGTAACACAGCCCCAAGCTGACCCACAACCAGGCTGAGTGGCACGAGGCCAGGGCTGCACCAGCTCAGCCCTGACACGGTGCACAAGCTGTTCCCAGCAGTGCTAATCCAATTACAAAACAAACTTCCTTCCCCCATTATCAGGGCTGCAGTATGCTAAAGCAGGCCTGTGATTATGGAGGGCTTGTGAGGGACTAGCAGTGAATGACAGAGCTGTTCCACGCACTGGGAGGAGGGACACAGAACACAGGCAGCTGGGAGGACATGGGGCATTGCTGGGACAAGAGGATTAGGAATTATTACAAACAAAGGTCTTTAGTCTAACTTTATACTCTCAAAAGGGTTAACCTTAAAGCCACATAAGGTTGTCACGGCCTCTTCCCTCCTGGGGATTAGCATCCTCATGAATAGGGATCCCTGTCACCTCTCAAGTCCCATTGGATGCCTGCCCTCACCCACCCCATTCTCAAACAATGCTCACTTCAGTCACTTCAGGATGGCAAAAGCAGCACTAAAATACCCTTTCAAGAGAAATTCAGTTCAAATTTTCTGGGGAGCTGCTGTTCACCTCCCACCACCGAGGATGCTGGAACTGGAGTCATATATTTTTTGTGGTCAGGACAAAGGAAGGGGTCATCTCCCTTTATTTGGCATTGGTGAGACCACACCTGGATACTGTTTCCAAGTACATTAAGAGAGAAGGAGAGTGAGAGAGTCCTACTGAGGATGGTCAGGGGTAGAACAAGGGAATTTCACTTCTTCAGTCTGGAGAAGAAAGGGCTCAGGAGAGATGTAATTCCCACAGCAACGACCAAGAGCCATTTTGCTGAAGCACTTGGACACACACTGCCCAGCTGCAGGGCAGTCCTGCTGGTCCATGACTGGCTCTGGGCAGCTGATGCAATGCTAACAGGTCTCCTTCCTCTCATCCCTGTGCTCAGCAGAGATGCTCCTGAGATGGAGTCAGGCTGCAGGATTTCACCATAAGCCTGCACAGCCAGCACTGGCTTCCAGGCAGTTTGCTCCCTGCCACAGCTCCTCAGGAAAACAGCCCCACACTATGTGGGGAACTGCATGGATACAAGGAGCCTCTTTTTTCCCACACACAGCTTCCAAGAAGGCAGAGGATCATGACAAGCTCTTCATTGGAGCAATCAGGGCACAGCGGGGCTAAGTGGCACTTGAAATCTAAGTGCAGAAAGGGCACCCAGCAGCATCACTGCAGATTTCTGCATCTCCAGCCCTTCCTGCAGGCTCTGGGAGAAAAGCCCTCCCACTGGAGTCATCTCCATCCCCACTGGACAAAATGCCTCCCTGGGATGGAGAGAGGCAGCCAGAGCTGCCAGCAGCCAAGTGGGCTGTAAGGAGACACCGGCCAGCTCAATCCGCTGCCTTTTAAGGAGCGGCAGAGGCTGAGGCGTCCTGGACCAGCCCACCACACTTCTGCAGCTCCCAAACACGGGGTGCACTCACAGACCACACTGGCCATGCCCCATGGCCCCCACAGCAGCTCGAACCTGTGCAGGACAGCCCGGACAGCCAACTCTCAGCTAAGATGGAGTCTGAAAAACCCCAAAGCCCCGGATGGCAGAGCAGGGTTCCTGCAGTGGCTGCAGCACTCACCCACACAAAATCCCCACAGTCCCATCAATCACCTCAGTGTCCCCCAGCAACCAGCAGGGACAACTTCTTCCTGGCAGCAGGCAGAAGGGAGGATGATGCTTTTTCACAAAGCCTTCACCAGGCCCACTGCTAACTCATCCCAGCAATGCCCAAGGGCTTTACTCCACTAATAGAAAAGATTTTGCTGGTCCAGTAGTGAATTTGCTGCTGCCATCCCCATCCAGAGAGCAGAGGGGAAAGGGAATGTGCTACTGGGGAGTAACAGCAGGATGGAGCTCAGGCTGAAGCATGGATAGAGGAAATGTATGTGCATGGGTATAGGAGCAACACCAGGAACCAAGTTAAAAGGCAAGGTATGTATGAAACAGTACAGAGCAATACAGAGAGGTTTAGCCAAAAAAAAAGAGGAGCAAGCTGGCCCAAAGACAAGGTGTCAGGAAGACAAACAACAGGAGTGGAGCCAGTAATTTCTCAGAGGAGATCAGGAGCTCTGTGAAATTCGGGGACTTTTCCTAAGATTTATGAGAAGTGAAGGAAAACAAGAAAGCAAAAGATCCCAAAGAGCGCCCTCTTCTACAGGGAGTAACAGGCAAGTCCAAAATCAGCTCATCACTGCCCACAAATGGTCTCAAAGTCATGGCAAGGACACGACCACCAGCATCCTTTGTCCCTTGTGTCTCAGAGGAGTGCACTGGCTGGACAGGCACGTCATTCTCAGTGTATCCAATGGCACAGGAAAAATCAATTCCCTTAAAGCTTTTGTATAACAAAACTTCCCTTTCCACTGTTTTGCTACACTGATCCCCCACTCACGGTGGGATGTGGGCACACAGTCCCATGAAGCAGGAGACAACCATGCACCGCTTTATTAGGCAGTGGTGCTGTACACATGGCCAAGGCCGGTCACTGTTTACGTTTGGCAAAGGATGGCAGTGAGTACTGAGCACCAGTGCAGTAAGGGCAGCCTGCCTCGCACTCTGCATGCCTTGCTGGCCCCAGGCAGGTCCTGCTCACCCCTGCCAGCCTCCTTACCTGCAGGCACAGCCGTTTTGTCTCTCATGGGCAGAGCTAGGCACCCTCATGGAGGTACCTCAAGCCTGCTACCAGATGATTTATCCCCGTACTCGCACACACTGCCCCCCTCCCTGGACTCTCCAAGGTCCCAGCTCCAGTCTCCAGTCCTGGCATCCCAAACTCTGCAAGGAGGCAGGTGTGGAGGTGTGGACAGCTGGCGAGCCCCTCTCAGCTCCTAGCACAGGAGGTCCTTCCAGTGCCACGCCAGCACAAAACCAGTGCATGGGAGCCCCTGGGAGAGCAGGACAAGGGGCCCGGCTGCAGCAATCCCCGACAGCACCGGCTGTGCCCAGCGAGCTGCTCATGGGCTGACGGTCTGGAGCCCATCCCTGGCACAGCGGCGCTCAGCCCTGTGGATGGGCCAGTTTTGGGTGCAGCCAGCCTTGAGCCTGGCTCGTGGGGGTGATTACTATAGGGTACGGATAGCCACCGGGTACAGCAAGGACATGTGCTCAGCCCCCTTGATGGGCAGCTTGCGGCTGGCGTAGTGATGGATGATCTCTGGCACGCTGTCGAAGGGCGGGCTGTGCTGACCCAGCACGTACTTGTTCTCCTGTGTCCGTGACAGTTTCATGTGCATGAAGCCCTGGCTGCTCCTGCAAGGACAGATGAAGGCAGGGTTAGGGGGTTAGTTTGTCCCAGGTTCCTCGCATGTCCTGACGCCCTGACACAAACAGCCTGCCCCTGCAGCTGAGGGGGACACTGCTGGCTCCTGTCTGCAGCCATGGCTCTGCCTGCTCCATCCTGCTCCTGGCCGACTCCGAGAAAATCTACAGATCCAAGGAGGGACAATGATGCTGCAGTGTCCCCTTGGGGAGCATGGCCATGCAGTGGGGTGTGTAGGGCCCATTCCAGGTGTGTGTGGTAGGGAAAGCATCACCTGGGCAAGAGCAGCAGGGCCACTTGCTATAGGGTCACGGAGGGGTAGTGGCTTTTGCTCCTTACATGTGACAGCCCCTTTTGTAACTGCTCTGGTTGTCACAGGACCCCCTCAGCTCCCAGGACTTCACCTCCCAGATCTCCAGCCTCACCATGGCAAACCAGGTTTTTCTCCTTTGGCCCACAGCCAAAGGATTTTCTCCTTCCCCCTCTCCCCATGCCACCACTGCAGGCTCCATAAAACCCGCTCAGCACAGCAAGACCATTTCCCAGCACAGCACGGGCACCAAGCCACGCCAAGCTGTGCAGGCAGATCCTGCCACAAACGCTGATTCCAAGTGAAGGACTAATGGCCCTGTTGCTATTAATTTGCGTCTCCGAGGAGAGCCGCAGCCTGTCTGCAGCGTCTGGATTGCACATTATGGCAAAATATTGATGACTTAAAAGCAGACAGGACCTCATCAGTGATGCTGAGCTGCTTCTAGTGCTGCACAGCCTGGCCCCATCCCCCCGGCTGGAGACGGGCCATAATGGACAGCCCAGCTGCATTAGCAGAATGGGTTTGCAATCCATTTAGAGACAGGAGCAAGGAGCCAGCTGTCCTGAGAGACAGCCACAGCCCCCCAACACGGGCTGTGGAAAAGCAATAGCTTGGCTGTGTCTTGTGTCCCAGTTGGGAGGGAACCGGAGCGCTGCCACACGGAACCATGGAGGGCTGATATTGGTTGAGTTTAGCCCAAATTGCTCCACAGGTCTTTGTCACAAGCTCAGGGATGTGACGAGATCACATCCCTAGCGAGATGACTGAGGGAACAGGCTGCAAACACCAGCAGCCAGGACAAGGGCAGGTGGGTGCTGCTCCTGCTGAGCACCTCTTCAGGCACAAGGAAGGACACAAAGCTTTGCAGTGTGGCCTCAGCTACTCTTGTGGAGGCACAAGCCAGGAGGGACTCACTCTCCAAACACCTGAGGCAATGACATGACCCTATCCATGACAGGCAGTGTGGGGCTGCCTAGCCTGGACCAGCTAGGACTCTCACAGCAGGGTTAAATCCCTCCAGCTACCTGACCTGCTCCTGGCTATCTCTCTTGTGCATATTTTCCTTTAACACAACACCAAAGTACTTTCGGTCAGCATTGGAATGCTTTTCAGAACATCTCCTTGGCTCTGCCTCCTTCCTCAAGGAAAAAAAAAAAAAAAAAAAAAAGAGTTAAAAAAAATAATAGAGCTGCAGACAGCCAGCTTACAGCTATATAAAAAGCATCCCAGGGGATTTTCCTTGAACAGGCTCTACAGAGAAAGGCAGTGAGTAAAAATCCTGCTCCTGGGACTGTGGGTTCTCCACAAATTCTGCAAGGACAGGCAATCCCCAAGCAACTCCTTGATGGGCTGGAGAAGGTGGGACACTGCTGCATACCATGGCCTAGCCACACATGCCATCTGAGAGGAGGATTTTGCCATAAGACTAACGATGATGGCAAGAAGTAAGGGAAAAGTACTAAGAGACAGGTGACTGGCTTGTGAAGAGGTGATGGAAAGCCACCTTTGGTGATGGAATGCCACCTCCCAGGCTTTCCAACACAGGTGCTGGCTAATGCCACTCACAAGGCAATGGTGAGACCTCTTGCAGCTTCAAATGCAGCTCACCAACCAGGAGAAGCTCCAAAATGGCTCACAAGCCAGGGCAAGGAAAAAACCCAGAAAATTAAAACATCAGTAAAAATTCTGACAAAAAAAAAAGGGAAAGGAGGGAGCTATTCCAGAAGGGTGTATTGGCTGATCTGAAAGCTCTACATGCAGAAGGAAGAAGTGTATTTTCAGTGGAGCTCCTGCCCTGGTTTGGTGCTGAAGGCAACAAAAAAGAGTGAAAAAAATGTGGAAAGAGACAGAGCAATCTAATTCACAATTGTGCCACTGGGAAATAAACAGAGAGGCTGAAACCCCTTGGGAGCAATGCAGGTAGAGAGACCACTGGGGAAACTCAAAGTATACAGAGAAAAGCGTAGGGTTACAGCGCCTGTTGTTGGGCAGAGATAGCTGAAGTGCTCAATGAATACTTATTTCCCATCTGGCAGGAACAGAGCTAATATAGCTGTCCAGCCAAAGAGCAAGAAGGTATTTGCTCATTCATCATCATCTTCAGACAGTAACAGCTTTGATTTTGTGGATTCGTGCTGCTCCAAGAGCCCAGCAAAGAGCTGGATGAGGAACTGTGGGCAGTTCCCCCCATCAAGACACATGCAGAGATGCTTCATGCAATTCTGGCATCCAAGGAATCTGGAAAACTTGGAGAGAATATAAAGATTCCCCAAGAACTGTAAGCAGAAACCAAGCTGTGCTGTGGGGATGAGGTTTCCCTACTGGCAAACCAGAGCAGGGTAAAGCCCTCTCTACAGCTGGGCAATGGATCTATGGGCTGGGGAGGGAAGGATAGGTACCCACATTTCCATCAACAGTGTGTTTCTACAGACTTTCTTTTCCCATAAAACTAAGCTACAAAAAAAGGGGGAGCAAGAAAAAAGAGCTGGAAGCTGTAACATTTGACTGAGAAGTGAGGCACATCATTTGATCCATCTGAGGGATTATTAGCACTGCAAGGAAGAGCAGTGGGCCTCCAGATCTTCCTGAGAGAAGTTTTTGCCAGACACCAAACCAGAACCCTGTGCCACACCACAGAACAGTGTGGACTTCATACTGCAGCCATTTGTGCCCACTCGTGGTCATCTCATAGTTAGCCAGTTAGCATGGGCACAATTCACCGGGGGCACCCACCTAGGAGTCACCTCTGCTGTGGGTCCACAACCCCCCAGCCCTGCCAGGCTCACTCACTTCAGGGAGAGGGAGAAGTCGTTCTTGCTGGTCTCGCTGTTGCGCACCAGGTAACTGGCCTCCTTGCACAGCCTCAGCAGCGTCTCCGCGTCCGTCCGGCTGATGGCCCCGTGGTACCAGCTGCAGGGAGAGGGATCTGCTGTGCTGGGCACAGAGCACACACCGTGGCAAGGGCTCTGCCCTGGGGCAGCAGCAATGCCAGCACCTCCCCAGGGACTGCAGCTACACCCAGGGAGAGGGAAGGGGGTGGCACCACTGGGGTAGGGAGACAAGGTCCAGGGACAAACAGGCTGAAATGTGGAGCCAAGGGAGAAAGGAAGAAGCAAGTCTGCCCCAGGGCTCCTCATGGTGTGGCCACAGGGCTCCCTAGTGCAGGTGGAAGGGTCAGGCACCAGACAGGCAGGACTCACCACTGGCTCTCCAGGGGCAGGGCAGGGTCGATCCTCTCCCCGACAAAGGGGCCGGGCTCAGCCGTCAGTGTCTTTGTGCTCTTGAGGTTGCTGGAGCCATGCCTGAGGACAGCCTTGGCCTTCTCCTCCCTGCAGGGCGAGGTGCGGCCGTACCCCAGCCCCTCCGAGGGACCTGCAAGGCAGACACACATCAGATGCTGGGACCCTAACTTCCTCTGGCAGGAAGAGCCAGAGCCACTTGCATCACACTGGATCACCTCACACTGCCCCATCCCCCTGGTCTAAGCTAGGGCAGGGCAGGGCAGCTCTTGGGCTGCTGCTCACTGCAGTGCCCAGGCTGGAGCCAGTAGCTGAGCCCATGGAAGACATTTCCAGAGAGGTTTCAAAAGCTCAGGAGGTTTTGCTAATGCAAAAATAGATTCAATGGCTGTGGTACAGGGTTAAGTGAGATGCAGCAAGAAAAGGTTCCCCAATCTCAGAGGAAGAGATGACAGATAGAGCTAAAGGAAGCTGTCAGTTTGGAACCAATGGACATATTCTGCTGACATAAATAAACAAGGGGTGAAAAAACAATTCCCCGAGATGGGAAGGGGATATTTTGACTGCAGGTACCTCCCTGACACTGCCACCACCACAGCCCAGCCACAGCCATGAGTGCGGGGGATTGACCGAGCCGTGCACCAGGGACCTGGCCTCCCACTGCCTGTTATTTCCACGCAGGATGATTTCAGCATTAACAATATTGGTTCTCCTTCCTCCCAAGAGTTCATTGTTTCTCCCTGTACCACCAACCCCCTTGCACAAATTACTTATTGATCGGGCAGAGCTGCCACAGTGTGGGGCTGCCAGGGACTGCCACTGTGGCAGCACAGTCACCCTGGAGGTGGCCGAGCCCAGAAATGCCCTAGGACTTCTCAAATGCCCCAGACAAGACAACTTTCCATGCTTCCTGGCTGCTGGAGGCAAAAAATAGCCAGAGGGATGTTTTCCTCTCTAGCAGGGCATCCTATAAAGCAGCTGTTTGAGTGACACCTTGTCCAGGCCCTGTGCAGGTGAGCAGGACTCCAGCCCCCCCAGCACTGCAAGGAGAGGAAGGCAGCCAAAAGCAAACCCAGCCAAAATCCTCTGCAGCTTAGCATGGTATAAACCCCCCTGAGCACAGCTCGAGGAGGAGCTGCCTGGCATGATGGCTTGACAAGCCCTGCTTCTGCAGCGCTCCGGCTTTTCACCAACAATGCTCATCCTTGTACATCACACACAGGCCTCAATTTCAACTCATCACCTTAAAAAATTGGGGCAATCGTTAAAAAGCCAGACAATCAAACAGCCCAAGTGTTTGCTGCCGGCACAAAGTCATTGCGTTGCAGGCTCAAAATAAATGCATTGCACCTGTCAGAGGGAGACAGAGGCAGGTGCATGATTAAACAGGATATTAAAAACAAGCCCTTAGGAGGAAGAAGACATCCTTCAAGACGTTCAAGTCATCCTCAGACATGGGAAATAGAAAATCAGGCAAAATTCTGGCAAGATAAACTTAATACAACAAAGCAAGGCAAGTCAGAGAAAAAACAAAAAAAGAGATTCCGTGTTGCTAAAACCAGGAAAAATGACAAAGTAATGTGTTCATCAGGAGCAGGATGCATGTCAGAGTAACTGTGGGGATAATAAATCATAGGGGAAAAGAAGAGGCTGCATAACAAAGAGATTAATTTTTCTTAACACCTGCATTCATTGCAGGAAGAGGATGAGAAAGTTCCCACCTGCCAAGACCTTTCTTCTTGAGGACTGATGTCAGCCTGCAGCATCCCTACGGATTTGGGAAATACCCAACAAAGCCCTGGCAGAGCGACCACTTTGCTCTCGAGTCCCCCCGCCATCAGCACCAAAATAAGGCATCACCTGCAGCCTGTGCTCAAGCCCACCCAGGAGGCAGCAAAGGCCACGCTGGCTTTTATCTCAGGAAGCTCTGCAGGGATCTAGGTAGCTGCAGATAAGGAAATCAGACATCTGCAGCTGGCACTGCAGTGAGTGCCCACCCAGACAGCGTTAGTGACACACAGGCAGGCACAGCACACCACTACACAGGAAAAGGCAAAGCATCCCAGCTCCCCACTGCTAACAATCCAGTCATGGCTTTCCACAAACTCCCCCCACCTAATGCCCTTGGCAAAATCCTAATTTACCACAGCATAAGAGCAAGGTCCTTGAAATATTAATAAAGGGTTAAAAGGGAAGCAGCAATATTTGGCTTTCATAAGTGAGTCTGCCAGCAGCATCCAAAGGGGATTTACCCAGGGGCTCTGTGCTCAGCGCACACAAAAAAGGTTTCACAGCAAGGCAAACCTGAGATGACAAAGTGTACCTGGGAGATTTGGCTGCTCAGGATAGCAAAAGCAAGAATGGAGAATCCACAGGGACCTCCTGACACTAAGCAGCAAGGTAATAAAACAGCAGAGGAAACGGAGCAGTGCTAAATAATGAAGAGGGAAAAAACCAGCCCCAGCTTCAGCACTGGGATCTGAATTAGCTGCTAACACACCTGTAAGGGACTTGGGCATTAAAAGTAAGTCAGTGAAAGAAAACATCAGCTAAATACTCAGTGCAGTTGTTGAGAAGACCTTACAAGCAGCCATCAAATGTTGGGAATTTAGAAGCAAAGAGGAGAGAACAAAAGGGACAGTAACGACTCTGCCATGCCAAGGAATAATCCCCCAGAGCAGCTCTGCCGCTGAAAGCAAAGAGGCACCAAAGAGCTCGTGCCTCTTTGCAGCAGAAGGTACAGCAGGACAAACCCCTGGTGTCCAGCACCTGACAACTGAAGGGGCCAGGAGGAGCTGGGGTAGGGCAGAGGAGGAGGGTCATGTCTGGCACTGGCCAGGACAAGCCCCAAGGCATCACAGCGGTCCAGAGTCACAGCAAGCATCGGCTGCAGCCCCCCCGGACACGCCGCTGTCACGCAAGACCCACCATTGGCGTCGTCGTAGCTGTGCTGGCCGTGCTGCGGAGGGATGGGGGCACCAGCCTCCCCATCCGGGGGGCTTTCACTGCTGTCCAGCTGTCCCACCGGCGGGGGCCATGGCAGGTCTTTAATGACCTTGATTTCAACTGGATGAGGAGGAGGGGAAGGTGTGGGAAAAGAGAAAGAAAGAGAGAGAAAGAAAGGATTTAGAAAAAACCATCAGCAACACCAGAGGCCCACAGAGAAGGAGAGAAGTTTTGGGGGGAAAGACACGAGGACTAAATTCCTGGGAGCCCTACATCAGCCTGGCCATCTCATCCCCTCCCACAGTACCAAGCAGAGACAGGCCTGAGGTGGGGCACATTCCCAATGGAGAGACCCTGCTCCTCCCATCAGTTTTTCTGGCCAACCCCCTTTGGGGTTTGGGGGAGCCTGCAATCACCACATTCCACATACTTGCCTGTCTGGGGGTCTTGGCCAAGCATCCCATTGCCATCTGTCCTGCCTGTGCGTCTGTCTTGCCCTAGGTACCTCCCAGCAACCCACAGGGTCCACATTTCCCTGCCAGGCATCAGTGGGTTGCAGCCTTGCACCAGTAGCAGCTGCCCATCAGCAGGAGTCCTATAGACCCTCCCAAAAGGGGAATGGGCCAGCAGAGACATTTTGGCATCACTGGAGAGAAAAAACACTGCTCGAGACACAGCAAGATCTGCTCTGGCTTCAGAAAAAAACAGGCAGCAGTCCCAGAGTGGCCCAGAGAACAACAACCTGACTCCCTTGGGACTCGGAGCAGGTCTGAAGCACCTTGGGCAGCACCCACATGCATCTACATGTGAGCCAGACCTGTGAACACACCACCTCCACCCAGGGATATCAAGCAAGGCAGCTCATCCAAAGCCCAGACACCTCAGCAGAAACCCAGCCCAGCAGAGCACGGTGTTCCATGGTGGAGCCCAAACGCCGAATCCTCGGCACGGGGTGCTGTGGGACCTGGTAGCCCCAAGCACAAGTAGGCACTGTGATACTGAGCCCAGCACACGTCTCCAGCTCACAGTGCCCAAACCCAAGAGGTGAACCACTCCCCAACCCCAAATTTCAACATCTCTCTCTGCCATCATCTCCACACAGTGCCACCAGCCTGAGCACCCTCAGCACCAGCTGCAGCACAGACACACAAAGCTGCAATTAAAATGCATCCTAGATAAGAGCGTAGCAATTAGCCAGCACCGGCAAGGAGCCAGCACTAATGCACAGCATGGATTTCCTCATTACCAAACACAAACACAATCGATCCCACAGCATGGATAAATAGGTCAGGGGGGCTGGACGAAGGCTCCTTGGGTATCCTCCTGCCCTGAGGAAGGAGGGATCTGCTCGAGCCCAGGGCTGAACCTACCCCTGCAACGCAAGGTTGAGGGTGTTAATTTGCACCAGAGGCTGTGATCAGTCAGAGCATGGAAGAGCCAATGGGAGACAGGTGCTGGACAGGTTACCAAGGCAGCTCTAGCCATCACTCTGTCCAGCCTGGCTCCCTGCTCAGAGAAACAGCTTCTGCAAGAGCACAAGCACTCCCTGAGCTATGAAAATGCAGAGACCAACATTACTGAGCCCCAGAAGATGAAGGAACCCCAAAGACCGAGCTTCACAAAGAGTGTTGTTTGCTTTATGGCTGCTCCCATCACTCACCTGCAAAGGCTTTGGAGATCCGCTCCTTCTTCCATTCCCAGGGCTGGTCATACTCCTCTGGTGGCCGCTCATCGTCCTCGGGCAGCCGGGACTCCCTGGGCCTGGGGCAAGCTGAGCAGTCACTGTCCATGTCCAGCACAGGCTCATAGGGAGTGTCATAGAGGTGCAGCGGCCGGGCAGGAGCCTCCCGTAAGCCCTTCTGGCGGATCTCTATCCAGAGAAGAGGGAAAAGACCATGACCCTTCTGCCCAACACAGTCATGGTCCCCCAAACGGTGCTAGATGACAGGGATCAATGTCACCCGTGGTAAAATGGGGTAGGGAGCATCAGCAGAGGAGGAGACAGCAAGCAGCTGCCAGGAGTAGGAGAGCTGCTCAGCAACACCAAGATCCCCACAGTCCACACCCCCACTCCTGGGCAGCCTGGCAAAATGGGTCCATGGGGACAGAGTACCCTGAGCCTGACTTCCTGCAAGCAGTGAGGCTGGGTTTCTCCCCTGGACACCCAAAATGGTTGGTTTAATGAAACGCCCTTCCCTCGAGCAAAACAGTCTCTCCCACAGGCACAAGCAACCTCTTCATTGCTTGCTGGTTTTTCCAAGAAATATAATGGACTACTTCAAAAAGCCACATAAGCTTTCCAGAAACCACTTACTCCAGGAAAACCACAGAGCTGCAAAGCAGAGCCAGAGCCAGCATGGTGACCCTGAGCACTGCCTTCAGAGGAGCACATGCTCCCAGCTTTCCAGCCCTAGACAGGCCCACTGGGGGCCCTGCTGCTGCAGCAGACACAGCATGTTCTGGCCCAGTCCTAACTGAATTAAATAGCTCCCACATCCATCTTAGTTTTAAGCCAGATGCATGGAATATCAGGTCTCTCCTGACTCAACCTGGCAACTGGGGTCCTGGGGGACAGCATTGCAGGGAGAAATGTGCCTGCAGTGCTCAGACAGCCTTTGCATGCTCTTGCAAGCCCAGCACACAAGGATAAAACTGGGAAAATTTGCCTGCAAAATGGCTGTCCCCCACCAGAACCATCACCCAACCCAGGTCTGCCTTATGTGGGGGAACTGATGCTGTCACAGGCTGCAAGGAACAGAGTACACCAAACTCAGGGACCCGAGGTGTAAAGAGTGGTCTTTGCGTGATGCCTTCCACCTTACCAGCCATCATCTTCTGGGCTTCATATGGCTCCATATATCCATCATTCTCCATCACCTTCTCCAGCCCTGCCTGGCTACCTGCCACCTGTGCCGCATCAAAGGGATCTGCATAGTCCTCCAGAACAGCCAGCTGGAAGAGGGGAAGAATAGGAAAAGGGTTAAGGTGCTCTCTGCCTTTATTGGGAGGTGGAAGGCAGAGCTCACCATGAGCTCCTCCAGCAGTAGCTAGAGTGACCACTGAGAACCCACACCCACAGCATGGCAGCCCTGCAGAGCCCTGCAGGCAGCTGACAGCTTTCCAGGTACCAGCACTCGGCTATGGAAATGCTCCAGCCTTTGTCCTGAAAGCTGAGATGGAGCCAAGCACAGCAGAAGGCAGCTCTGCCCCTCCCTCACCATCAAGCCCCAACTGTCAGCACCCACATAAATGCCCTGGCCCGGTCCCCACGCAGCACAGGGCTGCCAGCAGTGCTGTACCCCTCCATGGCACACAGATGTTCTCCTGCACACAGCCACATTTCCTTTCCCAAGGTGGACAAGGGGTACAGATCCCAAAACTGGGGTGTCAGATGGCACTGGCACAACTAGGAACTCACTGGTTATTTTCCAGGGCTCCTGTGCACTCATTCAAAGAGCTTTTCCAACAAAAGGGCTAAGAATAGCCTATGGCTTCCTCTCCACTCCTTTCCAGGCCTCCACAGCATCCCCAGACACATCCTAAGTTAAGTAAGACAAGACAGAACCTTCCTCCAGGAAGCAGAACCAGGAGCTTCTCCAGTGCCCATGTCACAGGTTCAGCAGTAAATTCCTGAGATTTGTGCTTATTAGTGAAAAGGAGAGGATCCTACAGTAGAATATGAGGCATGTCCCAGAGCTCAGTCCCCTCCAGCACTGGAGCCACATGACTGCTCTAGCATCTCAGCAGCTTTCCAGTCAGAGCACCCCATCACACGGCCCTGCAGTCCCCAAGAAGCCTGGAGCTGTACATCCCACCTCCAGCCCCAAAGCCTGCTCCCAGAGCAGGGCCAGGCAATATTTCCAGCAGCAATCAACTGTACCCAAGCACCTTAGCAGGGTCTGCTCACCTACCAGGACATAAACCCCCAGCTTGGGGGGATTTGCTACCACAAAACAGACTGTGCAGATGTCCCATAGCAAGGACCACATGTCCCAGGCATGGTGTGGCAGCTGCCTAATCCTACCTGGTGCCAGGTTCCATCTTCACCACTATGCTGCCCTGCTCCTGGTCAGCCACAGAGACCACGGCTGCTCTTACATTCCTCCGCAGCTCCAATAATCAGCTTAAAACAAAAGATTTCTCCCTCCTTCCTGCGCAAAATGCCCAACAATAGCCTGTGACAGAAAAGCCAGCAGGAAAAGGGAAGCGGAACTGGAACTGTAAACACCTCCATGCAGTCCCAAGTCTTGGCATCCCTGTGAGCTACATGAGGCACTCACCACCTCCTCCCTAAATGTCCCAGCTCCATGGGCAGCCGATGCATGGGGAACCAGGTCAGCTCTCCAAGCCTCGTGCCAGGGCACCAGCAAGTAGCTGATCAGCCCCAGAGCACATCCCAGCTGCCCCACAGCAGCAGAACAGGGTTCAGACATAGGAGCTGCAGAGGCTCTCACCCCTCGGCAAGGCAGCAGAGGACACACGGTGTCAGAGCAGTGGCCCCAGCCCAGGCAGGGGGCAGCGAGTCAGGACAGGGCTCAGGAGCAGCCAGCCCAGCTTTGCAGGGGGAGACAGGCAATCTGCTCTCACCAAGGGGTGGCACAGCATCACTCAGGCCCCCTCAGGCACTGGGAACTCAAGGAGCAGCGCTGAGCCCAGTGGTCTGCAGTCCTTTGCTTGCCAGGGCGAAATTCCCCACGGCAAACACAAGTCATTGGTGACTTTTACAGCTGCTTGGTCAACCAGGACCTGCTCCCCACTGCTGCCTGAGAGAGCTTAGTGAAGCTGCTCCAAACAGCCAGGACATCCCAAGGCCTCTCCCATGCCTCAAAAGCTGCAGAGGCTCTTGCTGCATCTCAACACCTGCAGAGCCCTGTGACATCAACAGCATCTTCACACATGTGCTCAAGACAATGGAGGCATGGGCATGCCAGCAGTGTCCCTTACACACACAAATGCACCAGCTCAACAGCCAGGGCGGGTGAATGGGCTACATCATGTCCAATGCTAACTCTCAGCAGAGCTGTCATGGCTCCAAGCATGCTGGGGAGCTGTGAAATGCAGTTTGCTGACCCTCCTGGGATTAGCTGTCTGTTCCTCGGGCCCCAAGCCCAACCTGATCACATTCAAACCTACCATGAACCACATTTCCTAGACAGGCACAGATCTATCTTGCTGCTAGTGCCAGTCCTGGACCCTCCCTCTGTGCCATACATACACAGCAGCTTCAGACAGGGCTGAGAGGCTAACCTGCATGCAGTGGTCACTGTCATAGAATCATTAAGACTGGAAAAGAACTCCAATATCATCAAACCTGACCTTATTTCCAAATGTATTTCCTCGTGTTTAGGTCTGGCTTCCCAGGAAAAAACCCACAAGCTCCAGCAGACTCACAGAGTGGCCCCCACACAGACGCTTCCAGGTCTAGAAAGCAGAGGATGGTGGAGAATCCTAACAAGTCTCTGTCAACACCCTAAAACTGGGTATTTTGCCTGCAGAAGTTTGCAGAGGCACCAGAGGCACTCAGAAGAGATTACATGGACTTTGCTGGCAGAGGTTGTGCCAGAGGATGTGCCAGGATGGGTTCAGTTTGGACCCAGAGCAAATGGCTCTGGTTAGAGGCAAGCTCCTTGGGTTTGGGGAGAATTTGCCACACTGGTTTGCTTCTCCACTGCCTCAAGGATGCCACTTCATAGGAACAAGGTCTCTCAAATATAGGGCGATGAGAACTTAAATCCGTTTGTTTTTTAAATGGTTAGATATTACAGCAGAGAGCCACAGAAAAGGTGGGAAGGCAATTACTCCCACCCTTCCCAGAAAAGGTGGGAAGGAGCATCACAGCCTCGGGATGCACAAGTGGGCCCACGAACCATGAGAATGGTGCCTCAAGTCCCAAGATTGAGGGGCTGGATGCTCCAGCCAGTGCCAGGAATGGGGCAAACAGCAGGGATCATGCAATTACTGGGCACAACCTAATGCCCTTGCACATGGGGCCGTATTACGGTTGCCCAGGAAACTGAATCTCTGACATTTCTTAATCTGAGTACTGGACTTTATGAGCCATGCAGGGCTCTCAGCAGCAGCCACAGGGCAAATGGCTGCTCCCAAGAGTGGGAGAGGGTCACAGGCACTGGCAAGGCAGTTCCCAGGGGTGCCCTAAGCCCCCCCACTTTGGTCTAAGGCCAGACATTTCCATGCTTTGCTCATGTTCCATGTTGATGAGGGAGCTGATCACTGTCTGCCAATCCCACCACACAGCTGTGGAGGCATCACCTGCTTATACATAGCACAAGCTTTGCTAGATTTGAAATAATTTGGGTGCAAAGCAAAAGCCTGACATGCAAAGCCACCATTCCAGGGCAGCTCCTTCTTCAGGAAGCAGCCAAGCACCACTTGTACCTGGACACATATCCTGGTTGAGCACGAGTGTATTTCACGTGTTTATCTGCCACAGCAATGCACACACAAATCCCTCCTCAGCACTGAGGCTGGTCTTGCTCCATTATACATGCCAACAATAAGGGAAAAAAAGAAAATCAAAACTAAATTAATGCAAAGAACTAAATCATCACAGGGTTCTCACAGTCAAACAGCTTTTATGCTGCCCACCAGTGAAGGTGACAGATCACAGCTCTTCAGGGCAGTTCAAACACCAAAATCCCAGGGCAGAGCTGGGGTTCTTTGTCCCATCTTGCCCAGAAACATTCTACCTGCCACCACCTTCTGCCACAACAAGATGTTCCACCCTACACAGAGGTTGCAGAGAATTCCTGGGGAGATCCTCCACTTTAAAAATGAGTTTCCCACCCTGGAGGTAAAGCACATTTGGGATCTCCTCAGAAGATTGGTAAATTGAGCAAACTCCATCAGGTGCAAAATTCATCCAGTTTTACATATCTGGCAGCTCAGCTTTTGGCAGACACTGAAGCCAAACCCAAAAGCAAACACAGCACTGACCTTCCAAGAAGGGTCTGGTGCATGGCCCACAGGGGACAGCTGGGCTGGGCAGGGAGCCGAGGGCTGCACCGGTGGCACAGGAGGAGGGCACGCGGGACCACCAGCACAGCATCAGCATGGCGTAGGATGACTCAGTTGGAGGAGGCTCTCGCAGGAAAGACACACACCCAGGAGCTTCCTGACCGGCTGTTCCCACACCCTGCGCTCCCAGCAAGGACAGCAGCGACTGCTGCCGGTGGGCACAGGACAGAGATGTCCTCAGGCAGACCCCCAAGCCCACCCTCAAGCATGACCTGGGTGCAGGCAGTAGCAGGTCCCTCAGTGCACCTCTCCCCACTGCATCCCAGTGGCGTTGCTTCTTGTGCCTAATCCAAACACAGCACAGAAGACATCTCCAGAGTATCCACCTGCCTCAGGTGAACCGCACAGGGCCAGTCCATTGACCACTGCTATGGGGAAAGGCCTGGCAGACCAAGCAGACTGAGGAGGATGTGTGCTGTCCACACCATTTCCAGCAGAGTTTGGAAAGCAGCACAAGCCACTGCAGAGCTCGCTCTAATGCATCCCCACAGGATGCTGCAGATCCCACAGAAGGCACAAAGATGCTACAGCAGCAAAGCATCGTGCAGCCCAGGCAGGAAGGATTCCTGTACCAAGATGTTCCTGCCCTTTCCATTCCCCAGAACAAGCACAACAGCAGGCACGGGGTGCCCAGGGAACACAGTCAGCCCCCAGCCAAAACAAACCACACGGTCTCAGCCAAACTGCACAATCAGGAACCAGTGACTGCTCTTTTCACCTGTCTCCTTCCTAATCGTCCCCACTTGGAAGGGCTGCATATTTTACTAGAGTGATTCTCCCCATCAGTCTTTAACAAAAACCCTCTCTGCACCAGCAGCTTTATCTGTACACAGAATTGTACTTCTCCTTTAATCTCCAGCATCACTACAACCCAAGGGGTCTGCAGCCTCAGACCCTGCAGCAGGCAGGGAACAGTGCCCACAGCCTCTTCCTAAGTCTGTGAGCACTGAGCCCCCTGCACAACCATCATCTCAGCAGAGGCTCCAGCCCAGCTCCAGTATCCCTGCCCTGTTCCAGGACAGCTTGACACCACCAAGAGCAAGGGTCACAAGCAGAAGTAAACCCCCAGCAGGCACTTCCATCCTCCTGTACTACCTTCAGGAAGAGCCACCATGATGTTGGAGTAGTTGGGGAACCCTCCCACTGCTCAGCTCAGCAGAGAGCTGCAAAGGGCTTTTCAGCCCAATACAGTTGCTCTACATGGTGGACACTCCCTGGCTCCTCCAGGAAAACTGTATTAATGGACAGCTGCAAGCACTATCAAGTATTTCCACTTTTAGACTGGTTTTGCCCAGGCTCTGGAGCTCTGCGTCCATCACATACCAGAGCCTTAAACAATTAGAAGTCTCCCTACAGTGGCATGCAGGAGACAATCAGTAATCTAATCACTGCCTGTCTTGGAAAAATGAAGGGTCTTCATTTGAGCAGTTTGAGCTTTCCCAAATATATCCCAGCTTCTGACTTGTCTCCAAATTTCTCAGGTTCTCCCCAGCCTCTGGCTCCTCAAACAGCCTGACTGTACCTGTCAGCAGTCCCTGCTTCCCACAGGTCTGGCTCAGCCCTTTGCACATCACAGCCCGGGTCCTCATGCTCCTTTTCTGATCCTGCAACACATGCTCCAGAGGAAAAACCATCCAGACTGCCTCAGCAAACCACAGCACCACGGTGGCACCTCTGGTCCCTACTATTAGTGCCACCCTCCTCATCCCCTCTGCTGCCTGCAGCAGCCAGTTTACCCAGCTCAAAAGGGGAGCTCTGCTGGGCCACTCGAAAAATCTCCCAAAAGCAATTAGTCAGTACAGGCAACTTCCCAAGATCCACCAGCAACAAGTTTTTCTATCTGCTTAAAACATTCTCTAGCAGATTTTTCCCGGTGCTCATTTCATTGTGCCGCCCGGCAGTGCCAGGACCACGGATGGCATCACTGACTGTATCCCCGATTCCCTCCGCCAGCCAGATCTGCAATCCCGTCGAGTTCGCCTGACAAGCCCCGTCTTGCAGGCGGCAGCGCTAGCGGGCACTAATTACCCCCTCCTGCCTTCATTTGCGCAGTCCCCGCATCAGCCTCTCCTCCAAGAGGGAGGCCCGGCACCAACGGCCGCAGCCCCGGTTGGGCTCATCCTCCACCAGGTCCCCGTGCCACTCAGAGCCATGGGGAGCTTCTGCCCAGCTCCTACCTCTCACCGGGGATGTTTCTCGCCTCCCTGCCAGCACCAGCAGCTCCAGGCTCTGCTCTCAACCCTGGAGAAGCCGGCGGGGGGCGGGGGGGCGGCAGACAAAGAGGCGCTGAGGCTCCCTGACAAAGCAGCACGGCATCTCTGGGGGTCCGGCCGCCGCCGCTGGCACGGGCAGCCCGGGCAAGCGGGCACAGGAGATCCGCCAGCCCCGGAGCGCTGGGAGGCCCAAGGGTCACCGGCCCCAGCGTCGGAGGGCACCGCAGGCAGTCCTGCGCTCCTGTGCGAGCGCGGTTCCCGCTGGGGATCATACCTGCCTCCCGCGGCAGCGGAGGAGAAGCCGGGGCCGCCCCCGCTCCCGCTGACGCGTGCCCGGCATGTCGGTGCTGCCGGGGCACAGGAGGGACGCGACACGGGAGCCCCGTGGAGCCTGGCCGTGCCCCCCCTCGGTGCTCGAGGATCCTAACCCCGCTCCTTATTGCGGATGCCAGCGGTCCGGCGGGACCACCGAGGCCATCTCCGTGACCGAGGCGCTCAGGCTCCACCTGCCCCCAGGGTCCTGGTCCTGCTCCTCACGGCAGGGGCCGAGGCTGCGGCGCGGTCACTCGGGACATCGCAAGCGGCGGGACCCCGCGGGGAGAGCACCGGGGCCCCGTGTCCGGTCACTCACCTCCTGCGGCGGCTCCTCGGGCGGCTCGGGACCGGCCGGGGGCGAGCTGGGGGGGACCGGCACCGGCGGCGGCGGCGAGGGGCTGGCGGGCACCTTTTCCACCGCCTCCACCTTGATGAGCCGGTGCTTGGGCGAGACGTAGCGGGGCCCGTCGGGGGCGGCGGCGGGCGGCGGGCCGCTGTAGGGGTCCTCGAAGTCGCGCTCCTTCTGCAGCCGGTAGGCCGCCACGATGTCGGGCTGGGCGGCGGCCAGCGGCTCGTCCGCGCCCCCGGGCGGCAGGGGCGGCTGAGGCGGCGGCCCGGCGCGGTAGTCGGGCTTGGGCGGCGCGGGCGGCGCGGGCCGGGCGCTGCGGAAGCCCAGGTGTTCGCGGAGCCAGCGGGCCATGGTGCCCACGCACTGCGGGGCCCCGCCGGCCCCCGCCCCGCCGCTGCAGCCGCCGCGCTCCGAGCCGGCCGCTCCGCTCAGCAGCATCGGCGCCGGCGGACTGAGCGCGGCGGCGGAGCTCGGGGGGCGCGGGGGAGGCGGCCAGTGCCACCTGCCGGAGCGCCGGCTGCGGGGCCTGCCCGCCCCGCCCGCACCGCGGCCCCGCGCCCGCTCCCCCCGGCGCGGCCCGGCGCGGCCCTGAGCGCGGCCCGGCCTCCCCGGCCCGCCTCCCTCGGGGCCCGCCCCGCTCCCGCCGCCTTCCGCCGCGCCCGGCCCTCCTCGGCGCTCCGGGCCGCCCCCCGCGCTCCGGCTGCCGCGGGCTGCCGGCTCGTTCCCCGTCCGGCCCCGGGGCTGCCCCCCGCCGCCCCGGAGCGTCCTTCGGCACCGAGGAGACAGGCGGCGAGGCAGGGCGGTAAAGGGTCCCTCACGGGACCACAGAGTGTCCTGAGCTGGACGGAGCCCACGGGCTCATCCGAGCTCCTCGGTGCAGACCCGCTGCCTCGGAGGTGTTCGGTGCGAGCAGCCCCGTGCGGGACCCCCGCAGCTGTTCGCTCCAAGGAGACACAGAAACACAAGGCGGGCGCTGTGGACCGCCACAAGGAACGCTGCGGGAAGGGGTGAGCAGGGACAAGGCAGGGAAGTGCTTGGGAAGAACGCTGAGTTAAGCTGGATGTGCAGAGACATTGGAGTGAGCGTGCAGGGCTGATCCCCAGCACAGGGACTCCAGGACGTCCCCTGGGATGCAGCGGGAATGTGGCACTGGGAGCAGTCTGTCGGGGCATGGCAGCAGAGCCTGAGGCCATGGAAGCAACAAAAAACACATTCTGACTGCTCCCCGTGGACACACAGCCATCACCAGCCGGCAGCCTTCTCTGCTCACTCTTCACCGAGACCATCTCCCCGTGTTCTCCGATGCCCCAGCAGCCCTGTTTCCAGACCTATGTCCCCAAATCCTTCCCATCCCTTTCTCTATACACACCATCACCCAAACCTGCTTCCAGGCTCACAGGCTGAATCCCCTGAAGGCCATGAAGAAAGAAAAGGGCCAGATGCTCCAAGAGCAGGACTCCCACAGAGGTCCCACTGCAAGCTGTGAAGCATGCAGAGGCATCCAGTGAGCAGGGACAAACGCTACAGTGTCCCTGCCTGCCCTCACACCAGAAGCCATAGTCCTGCATGGTGTGGGGACAGATGCTGGGATCTGCTGTCAGGGTGCCTAGCTGGGGAGAGAAGTTTCTCCTGGTGACCTTCCTACCAGCCCTGTGCAGGAGGGAGAGTGAGGATGGGGCTGCCAAGGAACTGAGCTTCCTGTGCTAGCCTGGCACGGTACATGCCCAGCATGTGCCCAGGGAGCCCACTAAGTCCCAGATTTCCTGCTTCCTTGAGCACACTTCTGCTTGAGAAAGCTTTCCAAATTTGCCAGGTCCACTATACACCGAGGGAACTTCCTCCAAAGGGAGAAGACAGCCATGAAACCCAGAAAATGTCACTGGAAATTTCAAAGCATGGGGATTGCAAGATGCAAAAGGCAGCAGGAGAAAAAGCATCTGTGAGGAACAAAGTGATCATCAGGCTGTGTTTGCAGCAGTCTAGCAGCAGACCTCACTCCCAGGCTCTCAGATGAAGAGACTTATTAACATGCAGAAAATGCAGAGTTTCTCAATAAATTTGCCTGTCCAGCATTTGGAAGGAAGCAGGGCTAATGGCACTTGAGAATGAAAGCACTTCCACCCTCTATTAGTAACCAGGGAGGAGGTTCAGCAACAGCTGTAAGAGATGGCTCTTGTTAAATCCTCAGGCCTGGAAAACACACGCTCAGTGTCTCCAGAGAGGGGACCGAGGAGGGATCTAGCTTTGTGCTGGTGTTTGGCTTTTTAAAATACTACCATATTAGAGGAATTGCAAAGGTTCTTCCTTCTCATCCAGTCCTGGCATATCCCCCACATCTCTCCCTCCTTGGAGAGGCAGCTGTGCCGGGGCCATGCTGGGATTTGACAAAGGTCTGTGGTCTGTGCCCATGTAGGACCCCAGTACCTCTGCACCATTTGTTGAGCCCATTTCTCTTCCAGATTGGCCCAATGTAGCCCTGTACTCTGATCTGTGCCTCTGAGGGATCACCTCACCTCAGGCTTCAGCCGAGCTTAGAGGGGAATCAAAGTCCCTGCACTCACCTGAGCCCTCAGACTGGAGCTTCCCCTTGGCCAAACCACCTAGGCAGCAGCACAGGCAGCAGGTGAAAAGAACACAGCTGAGATGAGAGCTCCCCTGGGAGACTTATTTGTTCTTGGGGAGCTTTAAGGGGCCTCCAGAAGGAGACCAAATGATTTTACCACCTGCATGGCTTGGCACAGGCACAGGCTGCTCATATTCTTTTCTGCAGTCATGACAAGAGGCTGGTGACATCATTCTGTTCACAGTGGTTCACTCCAGGTTTGGAGGAGCAGTGACAGATTTCTACATTCCCACTGCCAAAGCCAGAATCTGTCTGCAGCTCGTGCTGCAGCTGATGCTGCTCCAATCCCAACTGTTTACATGCTCCATACCTTATTCCTGTCGGGACCCAGGTTTGATGCCTGCACTGTAGAGACTGACCCCGACACCACAAGGGTGGCTGTGATGCCACTCTGCCTGCGAGTCACCGCGGCTCACGGTGACAGATGGCTGCCATGGAGTGCTGCGGGTGTAGGGGCTGGCAGGGGAGGCGGGGTGGGACTGGCAGACGGGAGAGGATGAGGGAGCACAGGCTGCACCTCTTGTGTGCCAGACTCCACATTTTAGCTTCTCTCTGCAGGAAGCATCCCCAGGTGGGATGTGCAGCCCGGGGGGCTGCCTGCTGCTGGCACTGCCCACAGCCCATGGAGCCCCCAGGAAGGAGGGAAGGATGGCTCTGAAGCCGTTTGCACAGTCCTCAGATAGGAAGTTGACAACCCATGGCTTGCAGACATGATTTGTGGTTCACTCTGAGGGGCCATGGGAACAGGGGAGGCAGAAGGGCTTTCTCCAGTTGTGTGCAAGGATGCAGGGCTGGTCCTCTGCACTGGAATCTCTGCTCCCACCCTCTTCACCTCTGACGGGTCCAGGAGCTCTTTGCTGAGATCTCCGGGCTGGTCCTCACAGCGTTGCCCTTCCTCTTAGCAGAGGAGCTGCTTGCCTGGGTAAATCCAGACAGGTCAGAGCATGCACCAGGAAGAAAAATCCAGTTAATGTCTTCCGGGCTCCCGCCAGCCCAGCGGAGAGCTGTGTGCATCCTCAGCCCTCATCCATCCTCCGGGGCCCGAGGAGCTGCTTCAGCTGCCTGAAGTGGTCCTGGTGCTCGCCCCCAGCTGGGGACAAGAGCCCTGTGTGGCAGCTGGGCCAAGAACAGCACACGGCACTTTCCCTGGGCTGAGGAGGGATCGTGCCACATCTTCATGGCAAACCTTTCGCTCCAGCTGAACCTTGGGTGGTGCAGACACATCTCAGCGTCCGCAGGCAGCAGCTTCCTGTGACTCAGGGGATCGGGAGAAGGTCCCTGCCCCTGTCCCCTCCCGCTGACTCACTCAGGCTGGCACCTGACTCAGGTGCTGGGGCGACTCCTTCCCCTGGTGCCAGCATCGACCCTGCCTTGCAGGGAAGCCTGCAGCTCCTGGAATCTCCAGGTTCTTCTTCCACAGCTTCAAACAAAAGCCTTTTGCAGGAGCTTTGGAGTGTCTGTGTGCCCGCTCCTTTCCTGCCCGGGAGCAACCCACTCACCCCCCATTGTGTGGCACAGCAGGGACCGAGAGGATGTCACATCTGCTGGGTGACAGCCGAACCAACTCCAGGACTGGCTACAGCAGGGGACGTGAGGATTGGAAGGTGGCAACTGTGACACCAGAATTGCTTCCTGGGAGGGAGCCAGGGAGTCCCAGGCTGATAAATGACACATCTGTTCTCTGCAAATGAACAAAAATTGGCATACGGAGGAGGAAACTGGCATCGTTAGGGAACAGATGGATAAATATGACATATTGGGGAAGAGTCGATACAGCTCTCTTGCAGTGAATTTCTCTTTTCCATAGCTAGTGCTTTCTTGGAAAAAGCCTGCAGGCCCCTGAGGTGATCCAGCAGAAGTCCCTGCATTTCCAAATGCAGATCTTTTAACAAGATGAGGTCAACAGCAAAATCTGCAGTAATATTGAATTATTCTGGAAATTGTGGATGCATGCTAAGCCTTGCAGGAGGACTTTGAGAGGCTTAGGAAGTTGACAATAAAATGAGACAAAAGCCAGTGTTAGGGAAGTGACACACATGGGGAAACCAAGCCCAGGCTCTTGTCCAAAGTGATGGGTTCTGAGACTGGGAGCTCTGACAGTCTGTGAAACTGTCCCCTCAGCACTCAGCAGAAGTCAAAACCTCAAAGGCTCTCTGTCAAGCTGATAGGAAAGGTCAGGGAAAAGGAGAGATGAAATCAGAGCTATCACTATTCCCTAGCCAGTCCCAGTCTACATGCATTTTTGGTCCCCCTATTCCAAGGATACAGCAGAGCTGGAAAATGTGCACAGAAGGGCAACAGGAGGATGCAAGGGCTCTGCACATGGGGTCCTTGAAGGACCAGGGCTCTTTGGCACAGGAAAGAGAGCTGGGATCACAGAGTACAGATCTGCACAGTGCGGGGAGGTGGGAGAGGCTGAAATAACAGTGATAAGACAAGGAGGAGACTCAGCACACAGTAGCCCTCCCTGCCAGGGGCTGCTGCAGATGCTACGTGGTTTAGGAACAAGACCACAAAAATCCACAGAAAAAATCCATAAATACATATTAAATACAAAGACTAGCACAAAGGAGACTTGTGAGTTTTTAGAGGCAGGGATTGTGTCCGGGGGAAGTTCTGCTACACATTAGCACCAGGAGACCATAAAGCCTGGGCAGGATGCACAAAGATTTCTGCTGGCACTTTTTGCAGCTCTCCAGCCTTTCTGTAAAAAACCAAAATTGTTATACAGTTGATAGCATAACTGAGGCAATGCTAATTGACCAAAAGAGGAGATGACAACTTGCTAAAAGATGTCTGCCAGCTTGGAGCCAGATCCATCGCCCATCACCTCAGCCATGCCGAGCCTGGTCCCTGCCTCTGCACATCAGGATT